GGGTAGGGAGGGTAGCGAGGGAAAGGAGGGTAGGGAGAGTAGGGAAGGTAAGGGGGTAGGGAGGGTAGCGAGGGAAAGGAGGGTAGGGAGAGTAGGGAAGGTAAGGGGTAGGGAGGGTAGGGCGGGAAAGGAGGGTGGGGAGAGTAGGGAAGGTAAGGAGGGTAGGGAGGGTAGCTCTACTAGCGGCGCGATGACAACTGATCAGATGATGAGCTCGGGAACAAAACAAGCGATCGCAAATCAGTTTTCTTCCCCTTACCAGTTTTCGTCCCCTTTTATTGAACTCGATATCACCGTTGAAGACATTAGCGGCTGCTCTGCCGGTGAGCATCAAGTTAACCATGGCCTGTGTTGTGAAAGACAATAGCAGTAACACTTTAACTCCCAATATTTGGTTGCTAATTCTTCCCTCTCGCTGCTACATATTTCCTTGTAAATTAGTTACAAGATTTTGGTATTAGAACAAGAGAACAACTTTTAGTATTCTATGTTTGCTAGATAATATGTAGATATTATAGGGAGAAGTTACAAGTTAATTACTTCTGGGAGCTAAAGGGTGAAACCACACAGATTAGGAAAGCAGAACAATTTCTTACGTTCACGAAATCAAGCATTGAGTTCCTTTGATCAGAAGAAAACACCCTGGGAATCTTGGAAGCGATTTGAAAAAGATCCATGTTGAACTGTTTGCGCGAACTTCCTACCTGAGTGCACGAGTCGTGAAGACCCATCAAAGTGAAATGTGGGTCTCCTAGATCCTCAGTTACCCTATAAATACAAAGATTAGAAATGCTGAGTAAGTTGGAAAAGTGCTGGCTACGTGGTTTAGGTTCACGCGCTATACTCCGGATCGAGGGATCTGGGTTCGAGTTCTGGTCGGGTTGATCTGCTGATTTATTGCTGGGAAGAAAATGAAATCCTAGGGGGTAACCTGCTGTGGGGAGTAGCATTCCATCCAGGGGGGGGGGAGGGGGGAAGAGAAACACCGCAGTCGTTTCATGTGCCAGAAACTGGGATAGGCACCGGCAGTGGTGGGCCGCCAGACTCTATGATTTTTTCTAACAAGGTTGTGACGTGCGTTTACTCCTGGTTTTTAGAGCAATTTTCAATTGAATGTCCAAGTAATCCGAGATCTCTTTGGTTTTGCTTCACTTTGCTCTGTGATTGGTCCAGGGAAAACTCGCACCATTCTCTCAACCAATCAAATTCAAAACTGAAACCAATCACAACTTGGTCATCCGCGTTTCCCCGCGCTTTCTCAACCAATCAAATGCAAAACTAAAACCAATCACAACTTGGTCAACCGCGTTTTCCCGCGCTTTAGGCAGATTGGTCGTTTTTACTTTGAGTTCTCATTGGCTCTTTATGGTATTTTCCTTTCTTATGATTGGTCGTTGTGGACGTTGGTTCTGGTCTTGCGATACTCAATAGAAAACAGCTCTAAAAGCACGCGTGTCTTGTTAAGTGACAGAATGTTTACAACACATCCATGGCGTACCTTTCAATTGATCGGGACAGAATGACTGAATACAAAAACAGAATGCAACCATTTCCGTTTGTGCTTTCAAACTACAAAAGAAAACATTAAGATGTTAACAGTTTAAGGACGACTGAAGAGCAAAGCACAGACGAGAAAGAGAGAAAGGGAACGGGAATCGCAGAGGCAAGTAACGAACGTAAAAGCTGATCGAGAGGGGCGAAGTAGCTCTATGCTGGTTTACGGTTACTCCGCCCTATGGACTGATCGCCCCTGATCAGATCACTTTTGCGAGAGTCAGATCGCTCCAACAAAGAACTTAGCCGGGTCGCTCTACAAGAGGTGTTAAATACCAAAGAAACTAAAACAAAAAAAACCAATGCTTCCCCGGCGTAAACACAAACATCAAGTAAACATACCTCCCTCAATTTTCCATAAAAAAAAAACTAGAATCAGACAGTGCGAATACTTACAAAAGACAAGTGCTTCTTGATGAATCTTTCCAGATGGGAAAACTCGGTAAATCTGAACTGATGAAGCTATAAAAATTAAAAAACTCAGATCAGAAACTTGTTTCCTTAAAATCCTTTAATCTTTAAGATTTTGTGAGCAATGACAAAACTTTTTGCGCTTTCGTTGCCTACTCAATACCCAAAAGGCTGGTGGCCATAATAAAATGAAACATTCTGAGTGGTAGAGGTCAGAGAAGCCCTGTTCTCCCTGAAGGATTACTCTAATTCTATACTAGACTATAGACAGTCTCCTTTTTGACAAAGTTCGTCGCGCGAGTCCAAAATCCAGCGGGAAAAAAAATGGTGGCTGGCGCGCTGCGAAGAAGTCTGGACGTGAGGCGCACAAACTGTAGAATAAATGAAATAAAGATATTCTGATAAAAATTAAACCGTAAGTGCACCTTTTCCGTTAGCTGATCTTCTCTATAGTCATCCATTGTTGCCCAGGTACACTCGCCGCACGGCCTGAAATAAAACGTTTATCGACCACAAGCGTTCACCATTTCAATGTGAAATTGGAAAACGGAGAGATGCGTACCGAGTCTCTACCCACTGAAAGCTGAGAAACTGGACGTCAGATATATAAATTTACTGATAGAGCACCTTTCAATCGAGTTTCGCACGTAATCCGGGGTTACCCCGGTTTAGTTTTGCTTTTGCTCTGTGATCGGTCAAGAAAACTCGCACCACTCTTCCAACCAATCAGATGCAATACTGAAACCAATCACGACTCGTTCAGCCGTGTTTTCCCGCGCTTTAGACGGTGTGCCTGTTTTTACTTTGAGTTCTCATTGGCTCGTAAAAGTTCTTTCTTCTCCCCTGATTGACCGTTGTCAAGTTTGGTTTTGGTTTTACAATAATCAATCAAAAACCGCACTATGCCGACCCGTGAACGACTTCTCCTTGTGTTCGAATCCCCATAGGGAACTCTGCCTTTGTTTTTTTCTCGTTGTCCCCCGTTCGTGACATAAGGAATAAATCTTTCATTACAACTTCTAACACTCACAGTACCACCGTTGCACGCTGTTGGCCTCCTGCTTGCCAGAGGATCTTCGTCATGGCTGTAATTAGCGCATTCTGACGTTCAGACGACATGGGTCTCAACATACTACAGGACAGAACACCAAAGAGCCAGATATCACACCCATTCAAGCATTTCTCAGCATTTCTTTATACGAGTAGATCGAAACCCTGGCAATGCAATTTTATTTTTATTTTTCAAAATAGCTATTCTGATGGTTCAAACAAAATTTCACCTTATTTCGTGACACTGCATAATCGCAATTCGACTAGTTACTGGCAGTTATCTTCGTCACAGTTTGTGGTCAGAGCAAAATCTGACCTCAGTTTTTTTTAGAGTTCGTTGTTCGGAATTCACCTCCCGGTTAGCTCAGTGGATAGACCGCTGGGCTGCTGTGCGGGAGGGTCGAGGGTTCAAGCCCCGGCCGGACCAACACTCAAGGTCTTAAAATAATTGAGAAGAATATGCTACCTTTCTATAACATCAAGAAATGGTTAGATATTCTAGTCTTCTCGGATAGGGAAGAATAAATGGAGGTCCCGTCTCCTACAGGGTTAGGGGTAGGAGACGTTAATTTCCCACGCACGAGATTACTGTGTGATGGATGTCCCATGCTCCCCTGGGGTGGGATGGGTGGGATTTATTGGGTTGACTACTCGCATGGTTTGCATATGTTCCGTTCTAGTCCTACCCTACTGCGGTAATGCAGTGAAAATGGTTAGAAAAGAAAAAAAAATCCGTGCTCACATTCGGGGAGCCACTTTAGTCTGAGAGGGTTGGTTGAATTGGAGCTGGCTTGCGTTTGTTTTCTGTCACACATTTTTCACTCATCTCTTTCTTACAAGCAGTCATTCAGAACATATCGTTTCCAGGTCGCCCAACAACCCTTAGATGTGTAAACATAGTCTCGATATGCATCTGGTACACACAAAACGATTCAAACCAGTCGATAAGATAAGATGAAATGCCAATCCATGCGGAGCAATTGCCAATTTCCTTACGGCAAAAATCATTTTTAATCCACCAATGATTTCAGTGTACTCGCGGAAATACTGACCCCATCTACAGCCTTACCTTGAGATTTTAAACCCCATCTGATTAACTTGCGTTTAATTTATTAACGTTATAGTTACCTTTTCACGTGTTCAATGGATGGCTGGTCGTACAACAAGAATCTCAACAGAAATCCCTGCAAACATGCCATGATCCCGTCAGGCCCCAACTACGGAAGCGATTGCGTAAAATACATTAACGATAGCCTCCGTTTGGCGTGAAAATATGCTTGAATATTTGTCGGAACTGCTAAACATTTCTTAGCCTGCTTGAAGGCGGTAACTCGTGTTTTCAAGCACGAGATTCAGCGCTGCGAATATTCGGTCGCCATATTGGACGGATGGAAGATCTGAGGTGAGTGACAGAGCGAGGGGAGGGGGGAAGGGAAGAAATTACTCTATATAATACATTGGGCCATGTTGTTCACGAGAAGATTTAGTTGATCTAGGCCTCGGTTTTGTGAGAATTAGTATTTTTTTAATAAATCTTTTTTTTTTTTTTTCAGTTTTAAGACAAATTTACTATTCATATCGTTTTCTTTCAAATCTGCCCGATAAATGAAAACTAAAAAATCCCGCAAAAATTTAGCTCCCATATATGCTTTACACACGGAAAGTCAAACTCCAAAACAAGTTTACATTTGAAGCTCAGGTTAGCGCTAACCGTCTCACGAACAATCAGCCCCCTTTACCTCCAAGCTTACCTTATGGAAGCTTAGAGCGTAAGACTTTTGCGAAAAGAAGTTGATGTGCTGTCTTCTCCAGTCCAAGTTGAAAGACGTGTACGGTGTTCCAAATAATAACACACGGAGGGCCTGGAAAATGATTAAAAGGACGTTTAAACCTCTCCACTCCAAAGATATAACTATCAAGGCTCTGCGGTGACGGTCGTACTGTTCTTAAAATTTCAGCTCTGAGAAATTGGTGGTAAATGAAACCACATCCTCTCTAGTTAACATTTTTCTTCAATTTCATCAACTTTACAGTTGGAAATCATTATTGATAATTACTTTTTGGTCACTCCTGGGGGTGAGTACCTATTGAGGACCCAAACTAAAACCAGTCTTCAAAGCAGAGGCAACCAACGCGAGTAGAATTGGGGAGAGAAGTCTGAGCCGCGCACTTTTTGGAGGCGACTGGGGATGAGTCAGACCCGACCCCAGCCTGTACTGACCTATTTTGCGCCCAGAGGTTCTAACAACTGAGCTACAGGGAACTCGATGGTAAGTTTGTCCAATCAGACAACATGGAAGTAACACGTGGGGCCACTGAGAGCTTAAAACAGAAACAAGGAAAAAGCCCGAAAGGGCGGAAAACACGAGCAACGAAGACGCGTTTGGTTTGAGTTTTGAATCAGTTGAGATTTTTGAATCAGAAGGTGGCGCAAGATTCTGGAGTTGGCACAAAGCGAAGTCCAGGCAAAGAAAGAAAAAAATTCCGGATAACTTGCGACAATCAAATGAAAAATTACTTTATGTGAAAAGCGCCAGAAATTCCCGGGATCGGTTATGTCGCAAGTGTTCTATGCGGAGATTAAAAAATAATCGGGGTGTCCCGAATGGATTCAAACTCCAAAGTCAGCGGGACTCACTCAAATTCGTCATAAGCAGCAATGCCTTTAGCATGTCTTACCTTAGCTACCTCCAATGTGATTGGTTCCCCACCCGGCACAACTGGTTTGACGGATTCTGTCGCGCGTTCACTTTGCAAAGACTTTCTTTGACTGGAAGAACTTTGTCTCTTAGGGAAGGATGGAGGGAGTAACGGTCCGATCTCTGCCGATCAAAGGCAAAGCAAAATAATTTGGTAAGTTTAAGGATTAATATAAGAAGACGTCTTCATCAGAAACCAGTTTGAACCCAGGTTCCTGCGAATAGAGCTATAGTCCTTCTTACAGTTTTGGCTTGGTGGCCAAGCCTTTGAACAGGAGTGAGGCTAAGGGTGACCTTGTTATGATACAGATGTTGCTGCTTTTCAAATGCAAATTTCTTTGTTATCATGCTAACTAAATACTGGTCTCTATCACAAAAAAGTCAACCTCAGCCTCACTTCAAATCAAAGGCTTGGCAACAAAGTACAGAACTGTAAAATGGTCTATTGCAATTGAGAGTGTAATTTGTCAATCTATGTCCCCATTCAACAATCTAACAAATCTTAGTCGATGAAGACGACCGAAAAAGCAAGCGAAAAACGCGTGAAAATGTACAAATAACTGTGGAGATCCTTTTCCTGACTTCTTAACCTCCCCCGCTTTCCAACCTGATCTGTACCACAACAAAGTATTCAACAGTTTTCTCCAAAAACCGCCTTTGAAGTTTACTTTAACTTACATCTCATTATGTTCTATTCTACCTCTTTGTGTTAAACACTTAAATGACTCTCACCCAAAGTGGTCAAACAGGTAAGTCTAATAACACTAAAATCTCAGTCTCTTACGTCAAAAGAAAACTAAGTAAAAACTCGTGCTAATTACCTGATGATTGCTCCTTTACGAGTTCCTGTTTAACTTCAAGTTGAGGACATTTTTCTCCTTTAAGTGCAGGATGCTCCTGTGAAAAAATCGCTTTAAATTTGCCATCATAATCACTGAAAACTTTAAAATACTTTACTGATACTTTTTCAAAGTAGAAAAATCGACCCTCTCGACCACACCTTTAGCACTTCGTTACATAAGACTTTGAACACTTTCAAACTTAAGATCTCATTAGTAATTTTCCTTACTGTGTCTGTCATACAATTCTCGTGAAGTAAGTTTGGAGATCAGTATTGGATCGAATAATAATTCCCCAATTGATACTGATATTTAAATTCTCATCACTTGTCTGTTTGATAATGCAATTATTTTCTGGGGAAAGAGTCTGTCATAATCGAATTTAAGGGTAAATATTTTGATATTACAGCATTTTAGTTTTCTGGTTCAACCTGAGCTATTCTTAAATTGTTAAGTTTAAAACCATATAATTAGTCACTTACCAACGTTTCAACTCTGTTTCCAGATTTGACAGATGTTTCTTTTGGCGTGGGTGCATGGAAGCTGGCTTGTCTAACAGGTTTAACTGGTGTGGGTTGGATGGATCTAGCAGGCTTGACTGGTTTCTGGTCCAAAATTTTGCTGCGTTCTCTCCCGTGTCTTGCACACCTATGTGAAGTACCTTTATCTTCTTGAGGTATCGGAGGTGTCAGCACATGGCCAGCGTCTGGGATTACAAAAAGAGACCATGATCCAACTCCCTAATCACCTCTTCTTTTTCACACACGATTGGGTCGTAGAGTCGCAAAAGATTAAGGACGTTAAGCAGTTAGGATGGCAACGCCGAGGAAGACGTCGATAAAAAAATTAAATTGCATTTTTAGCTAGAATTTTACCAATGGCTGGATGTGTTTTCCGTTTTCTTCTCTACCCCAACCTCAGCACAACGCATGTGAGCAGCATTGAGTTCCAATTGGAAACTTAGATATTTTGCCGTCGGAGTTTCTGTTCTGACCACGCAAATTCTGATGAGTTCACGTTGTTGTTTTGCCGACCATGGTTGGGAAATGTACAAAATTTAAAAACGCACGTGCTGAGCCTTTGTTCTGCTCATTAAATATTTTCTTTTACCACGTCCTCGTCTGTAATTATACGAGCGATTGTGTGAAAGTTTAAATGGATGT